CAAGGCCAAAGAAAACCTTACTGTAGTTAGGGGAAAAAGCCATGTACTAAAATGAGTTATAAAGAAAAACCTCGTGTTTTTATTTTTCTTAAAAATCTGTTACAAGAATAACAGGTACGAGAAAGTTATAGATGTAATTCGAATACATGTAAAGAATTATTCAAAACTAGACAAAGTTCAAATAAAAACTTGTCAATGTTATTTCAAAAGAAACATGTGTGTTCCTGTTTCTTTTATCGTATGTTAATACCATTATGAAGTTGAGACGTCTTCTTCATTAAGTGTCGAAATATAAAAGGGCCCTCTTTTATAAAATTCATGTTTAATTTAGTTATTCATGAAGTTAACAGAAGCATTTTCTAAAGAATAAAAATGCAGATTATTCTATAAGTCCTTAGAAATAAAGGCAAGAATAAATTAAATAGAAGTTCAAGATAGTAACGAGAAAACTTCTAAAATATTAAAGTTTAAGACTATGTAAAAACATAGTCGAAGAACTACAAATTGTTTATACAGATTGCCCTATAAAAGGACTTGGGGACTTGCGTTTCCAAACTCAACCCTCAAATAAAGCTAAGGGTTTGATTACAATTTTCCAAAATAAACCCTCAAATGAAACCAAGGGTTTTAAATATAACCTTCCAAAAAGGTACCTGCAAAAAAGAGAGAATTCAAACTGTTTAATTATCACTAAGAAGATGAGGGAACTAAAGAAGGGGCATCAACGGCAACGGGCTCAACTTGGGCAGGTGCATCAACAGTTGCGGGTTGATCTTGACTCACAGCAACAGGCTCGACAGGGCTTGGAAGAGTTGGGATACCCATATCAACTTCAACATTCACGGAAGCTTCGGCCACAAGAGAAGGAAAATCTTGAGTTTGTTGAGCCTTCTCAATGGTTTCATTGATCTTAGCCAACTCAGACTCTAAGTTGAAATTTTCTTGGCCAGCTTCAATCAGTGTATCACGGCGTGAATTCAGAAACGCCCAACTTGCCTCAATAGCAGATTTCTCTTCAAGGGTCTCATAATCCCTTTCCCAATCAGCAATCTCATTCTTTAGCTCCTCATTTTCAGTCAGGGCAGAGTTGTAAGAAATTTGAAGAGAGGCATGGGAGCTTTCTAATGCACGCACCTTATCAGAAGAGACTCGAAGGTCTTCTTGTGCTTGAGTTAAGTTTTGCACAATCTCCCCAGAGTAAGTCTCTTTTTGACTCAAGAGAACCTTCAACTCTCTGATCTCTTCACTGGCCTTGGATAGTTGTTCTTGAAGGAAGACTTGAGACGTTCTTTTTCTTTTTCTGTTTGGCTTGAGGAAGCTTTTGCAACTGCTAATTCTGAGGTTAAAGATCGCACCTGCTGCTCTAAAGTACTCTTGCTCTCTTGTAAGAATTCCACATCAATTTGTAAACTCTCGAACTGCTCCTTCCAATTGAATGCCTCTAACTGAGAATCACGTGCTATCTGCACCAAGAGGGGGATTCTGTTCATCCATTTCTGTACCGATAAGATTGGCCTAAAAAAAAGAGGGGGGAAAGAGAAATTAGAATCCCAAAGATAAAAAAATTACAAAGTAAAAAAAAATGTAAATACCTTCAAGGTAGCATGCACAATATCGTTCATCAGAGTCACGGAACTATGGCTCTCCAGCTTTGCTTTTTCAATTGGGCCAATCAAAGGCTCCAGCCATACATCTGCCTGACCTGATTTCCTCAAAAGGCTGTTCTCAGCAGGAATTTCAATAACCACCCTCCTCATAGCAGCACTTCTACTTGAAGAACCCACCTCAGTATGATGAACGATTGGAGGTGGAATTGTCAAAGGAGGAGTGGTAGAAGAGGTAAGAACAGTCGAGGTAAGAACAGTTGAGGAAGGAATAGTAAGAGCTGGGGGTGGCAACGAAGGAATCACAGGCACGGGAGTTGAAAAAGAGGCTAGGGGTGTTTCATCTAAAACAGGCCCTAAACTTCCACTATCAAAACCGCTAATAAAAAGTTGTTCAATGGACTCACGAGTATCACCAGGGTCAATCATTGTCAGGAATTACTACCGGGGCTTCAATGGACTTAGTAAGAGGAACGGAATGACGGGGAGGCGCCTCTGCTTCGTCATCGGAAATTATGCGTCTTCGAGCTCGAGGCCTTGTCACCAAAGAGCCCCCATCTTCCTCTTCTTCGAAATCTTCTTCTTCAACGGCTTTTCTCTTAGACGAAGAACCGAAGACTATTTCTTGAGCCCTTTCCAAGGAGATACGGGTCCCCGAAGAGGCACGGGAAGCCGCAACTGCCTCGGCAGTAACTCCTCGAATAGCAAATCCTGATAAAAAGATGGATTGAAATTAGAGCCATAAAGAGAAACATATGCATAAAAGATGAAACAAAATAAGTAACCCTTACCATGAGTCTTTACTTTCCAACCAAAACGGCTGGAAAGTGTCTTCCAAGACCTCCCATCCATTGGTGCGGTCTTCAGTAATCTGTCTACCCAGCCACGAAAATTGGGAACATCTTTCACAACTCCCATGGTTGCTAAAAAAAAGAAAAGCAAAATTAGAGATGTTGATAAACTTGAAGGAAAAAAGGCACGAACAGGATAAAAGACTTACATGCAAAGTTCCACTTCTCAGGGAAGGGAACGTTATCTTCACCCACTAAACCAGCAGTGGGGGCAGTAACAAACCGGGCATACCAGCCACGGTCCTTGTCATCCTCAGGGCTCACCAAAACCCTCTTACTCCTGGCTACTAGTGTGAAAACACCATTGCGAAAAAGCCTAGGGGAGTAAAGATGAATTAGGTGAGGGAAAGTAAAGGGAACACCAGCTGAATTGGTTAAATGCCTTAAACGACCAACAACCCTCCATATGATTGGGCCAATTTGACCCAAACAAACATCGAAGAAATAACAAAAATCAAGAATGACTGGGTCAATAGCTGGTTTGAACCCTAAGGTGAAAGGGTATGTATAAACAAAAGAAAACCCCATCAAGTAAGAAGTGATTGTCTGATTTGGGTTAGGAATAATAATAGGAAAGTCATCACTCCAATGGCAATCTTTGCGAACTACAGGAGCTAAAATTTCTGTAATCTGAGTGGGAACAGCATCAGCACGATCTAAAGTAGAAACCTGATTCCTAAGAGATTCTCTGTCATGATAAAAAGACAATTCTGTAGGGACTATCTCTTCTACTAAAGGCTCACGTAATGGTTCAGAAGGTTCTTTACCCCTAGAGGAAGATTTTTGAGAAAGGGAACCTCTGGTTCTAGAAGAAGGACCAGAACTAGGAGATAAAACAGAAGAGCCTCGTACAGATCCCGAAATACGGTGCCTACCTCGCTTTCTGCCTCTACTAAGAGCGCTAGGGAAGGTATCAACAATGGAAGCCCTTCTAGGGTTAGGGTTCGATGAAAACATAATGAAAAAGGATGATACAAGGAAGAAACAAACAGAGATTTGAGAAATAAAGTGTTTAGTAAACTTTATGAGGTAAAGACAAAGGAAGAAGTTATATTTATACTGATGAGCAACCGTCAAAGGGAAAAGTGCAATGATGGAAGGACCATAATAATGATAACTGACACTTCGTAAACAGGGAAGCCGAAAAGAAAGCCTAAAAAAGTGCTGCAAAATTGCAGATCCAATAGGAAGGTGACACGTGTGAAACGCATTAAATGGAAGTGATAATTGAAGCGTCAATTCTGTCACAGCATTAATGGTGACAAAAATTCCCGTTTTAATGAGATCCACTTCTCAAATATTCAATTGATGAATAAATGGCAAGTGGGGGGACTATCTGTATTGGAAAAATTGAGTTTACATATTAAAGTAGTATGGAGATGACGTGTCGTGACACGTAGATTGGTCAAATGGTCAAAGAATTTCAACTAGCCAAGAGGCACGAGTAGCAATGGATGCGAGCAAAGGCAAAGGAAGAGGCACGGGCAGACATTCAAAGGATTCAACGCCCGTACCTATTCAAGACATTTAAATTCAAGAATCAAGAAGAATCAAGGGAATGAATTTGACAACACATGAGTCAAAATACAGTATTTAATAAGCCTTAAATGCTAAAAACGTTAGAGGATCTGTTTTGAATATAATGATTATGTAACGTAGCATTCAATGTCATTAATTGCCCATAATGGCCTTATTATGACAAAGGCAAGACATATATCTAAAAAAAAAAGCTATATAAAGGAGAGGGCTGAACAATTATAGGGACACTCTTTGGTTTACTTGTTTTATTCAATTATATTCTGGCTATCCAAATTACTTTCTTTTATACATTCTTGCGATTATCAGTAACCCGTATTCTTCTAAATTATAGCTTTGGTCAAAATTCTATTTTTTGGTTAAACAACTCCCTTCGTTCCAGTTTATGTGAACCTATTTCATTTTGGGTCCGCTCCAAAAAGAATAATCCCTTTCTAAATTAGGAAACAATTTAGCTTAAACTTACAATTCTACCCTTTCAAATACTTTGGGCCCCTTTTTAACTTGATTAGGACCACAATTTAAAGAGTCTTCATTTTTCTTTAAAACTCTATGCGTAGTCAAATAAGTTTACCTAAATTGAAACGTAGGAAGTATGTTAATTACTTGTCGTCATAGTAATAGATAGACACGAAAAATATGTTGCGTAAGTCTCTGCTGCTAGAACAGAATAGAGACGGTTGGAAATGACACAAAAGGTCAGGTGCTAATTGTAATATAACAAGTTAACAGCTACACAAGAGTTCCTTGATCGGTTTGGATTTTGTTGGATATTATCTCCAATCTCTATAACCTTTTCGTGCTTTGGTGCTTTTAGGCTTTAGCTAAGCAATCGGAGCCACAGCGTGTGAGCATACTATCACTCTTCCGGACGCGTGTCATTCTTCCTACTACATCAAGGCTGAGTTGCTCTCGTCTTTTCTCTCTGAACCGCCGCGTTAACCTCCACGCGTCAACTGCTCAATGCCATTATCTGCCTGCTCCGCTTTTATAAATGTGCGGCCAAATTATCCATTTCGTCATCACATGTTGTAGTAAGTGAAAACGCACTTTGTTTTGTTTCTGTTCACAACGTGATAGGTTTAAATAAAGAAAGAAGAAAAAGAAATGGCGTCACAGCAAGAAAGGTCTGAGCTCGACCATAGGGCAAAGGAAGGAGAAACTGTAGTTCCAGGTGGCACCGGTGGGAAAAGTCTTGAAGCTCAGGAACACCTTGCTGAGGGTAATATATAAACGTTTCTATTAACTATTTCACTCTTTCGTACTCATTTTCTTCTCCTTAATTACATATGTACTGCTATTTTTGTTTTACTAGGGAGGAGCCGAGGAGGGCAGACGAGGAAGGAGCAGTTGGGAACTGAAGGCTACCAGGAAATGGGACGCAAGGGAGGTTTGACCACTGGCGAAGAAGCTGGTGGGGAGCGTGCGCAGCGAGAAGGAATAGAGATAGACGAGTCAAAGTATACCAAGAGCTAAACAAGTTGAGGAAGACAATAGTCTTTTAATCCTCTGGTCCTCTTCCCTGTGTTAATAAAAGGGTCTTTTTCTTTTCCTATGTGTTTTCAGCTTTCTAGTTTATATTAGCTTCAGCTAGGTACTATTGTATTGGGGATCATGTAGTCTGGGCAGGCCCTATGTTTGTCTCTTTTGGTTTCATATGTTGTGTAGTTCGTCTAAATTGAATGTCTAGTTGTCTTTTTAGTATAGTGATCTTTTCTACATGGTTATATTTCGCCTTTTTTCCTTTTATCAATAGTGCATGTTATTTTTCCTCTGAAGGAAAATGTTTAACCTGCATCTGTACGGCATCATCACAAATCGTAAAAATGAGGTGGTAATACAACCTACACAGGTTGCAACTTCATTTTGTGCGAAGAAAGAAGTATCAAATTCTCTAGCGGAGCGGTGTGTCGAACTGAAAAAGGCTAAATCATGTAATGGGTACTGTAATATTACTGTAGCTGTGAACTAAAAATAAATTAGACGAGATCTCATTGTGCATGTTGTCAGAAATTCGCTGTCTGACAATTAAATTTTTTTTATGCTAGTGCGATCTGTTTTGAAATTCATAGAAAAATACTATTATCTTAAAATATACACTCTAGTAGAAGAGTAATAAGAAGTCATGGAATTCCATTCAGGGAGGTAATTTTTCGAAAAGCATGTTTTTTTGGGTAGATGCCCGAGTGATCTGTTTAAGGCTTCCACTCAAGGTATAACGAAAAACGTAAAATAATTTCGAGCCCACTGAATGCACAATGTGTTTTTAAGGAATTTAATTTTCTCACTGTTGTTCAAGGTATACGGTTTAATTTTTCCCAGGATAGAACGGAATAACTATATAGCGGTATTTTAAATTACAGAACTTCAGCGAACTCAACAAACGAAGCAAATCACACTTGATACTTATGTTTATTTAGAAAATAATGTAACAATGTAAAAAAGAGGGGAGAAAATTTCAGATTTTACATGTCTGATTTTATGTTTTTAAAATGAGGTCAAGCCTTTAAATTTATAGACAAAGGAAGGGTGATATGGAGAGGTGCAATTTAAAAGGTGCCTTTTTCATTTTTCATTCACACCGCTTAATAAAAACGCAACAATCCCCACATGAATGGGGAATGGTCATATGAGGAAAAACATGCATGAAAATACTGTGTGATTCACAAATAAGGATTAATCACATCTGGATAAGTAGGTTTCCCTTTAAACTTTTCGTAGTGAACTTATGTCGGATATACTCGGTCAATCGATAGATTTGATATCTTTGAACCGTCGAGCTTTGGTGTATACCTAGACAACCATAAGTCACACAATCAATCCTTAACCGTTTTTGGTTCTCACGGTTGTGTTCGTTTCAGCCATGAACACCGCCTGGTTTCATGAGTGCTTAGAGAATGGGCCTTTACTTTCATTCCCCTTAAAGCGGCTTACACTTAACACTCACATAGGTGATTTCTAAACGTGTAATCCTATAGACACACTATCTCGTCATATCCTGCCAGACTTAGAAAATCATTAAAAAGCTTTAAGCTTTATTGACTCATCAAAAAGCCTTAATGCTTTACCTTGATTTCTGAACATTGTCTTCATCATGAGAATGAGTTGAGCTATTTTGACAATGTTGAACCGTCATTCATAACTTTGTTTGATCTCTTTCAACCTAGCTCTTGGGATCTCCAGTCTGCTAGGTAGAGTTACCGCCACGATGACTTGTCCTAGGCCTTAGACCCATTCCCTTCGCTGATCTTTCAACTGCCTCTCTAGATAGGCCTTTTGTAAGTGGATCCGACACGTTATCTCTCGACTTTATGTAGTCAATCGTGATAACACCACTAGAGAGTAGTTGTCTAAAGGTATTGTATCTCCGTCGAATGTGACAAGATTTTCCGTTATACATAACGCCCCTTGCCCTGCCTATTACCGCTTGACTATCACAATGTATACACATAGGTACCAACGGTTTGGCTAAAATGGAATATCTTCCAAGAAATTCCGGAGCCATTCAACTTCTTCACCAGCCTTGTCTAATGCTATAAACTCAATCTCCACTGTAGAGCGTTCAATACACATTTGTTTGGACGATTTCAAAGATATCGCTCATCCACCGACTGTTTAGAATCGATTGAATCGGTAATTTAATTTTCATCACTATACCCCTCTATTATCGCGGGATACTTATTGTAGTGCAAAGCATAATTTGGAGTATATTTCAAATACTTCAAAACTCGTTTCATTGTCATGAACGTTTAATGCAAAACTTCCTTATGTTGTAGACTAATATGTCTCGACTTCCGATTGCATATCATATTATTGACTACACTTAATGTAGTAATTATAACAACAGCTGGAATGATTGGCATCAGTTGTGGCCACAACCTTTTAATATATAACACATTTCGCAATCATTCCGCCATTTTCAAGCATTTGTATGCTATTCATTCATACGTCTATATGATATGCAAATTATAGCACCTTCATTCATGAAACAAATCCAACTTGCAATAAATTTTGATCATGTTCATCGGTTGGTTCACCTCATTATAGACCAACATATTAATACGTTCGTTTATGAACGATCATATTTATACAAAACATATAAATACATCTTTCTATGAAAATTCACAACCTTCAAAGTGACATCATTCATAAAAGAACTAAACAATATAAATTTTCAATAAAGAAAATGATCTTTCGAGAAAGGCACGTGACCAACTTCCGAATTAGTAGTTTCATCAACTAGTCTTCATTAAGACTAAACAGTTGATGAATTTACCAACTACCATATCAATGGGGTTCAAAAATTATATCACTTAGACATTACGTCTAACATTGGCTTTTGTCATGCATAAGCTAAAAGCCCCCACATTTTAAATATATCATCTACATATAATCAAATAATGACTATATGACTTGAAGTGTTCTTAATGTAAACACAATTATTTACACTCATTAATTTTTGAAACCATTTGACAATATTATTTGGTCAAATCTCGCATGCCATCGTTTGGGTGCTTGTCTTAGTCTGTGAAGTGACTTAACAAGTCGACACACCTTCTTTTCTTTTTCAGGAACCACAAACTTTTCAGGTTGTTCCATTTAGATTTTTTCATCCAAATATCCATTTAAGAAGGTTATTTTTACGCCCATCTGATGTATTTCAAGGCCATACACGACGGCTAACACTATTACCATCCGAATAGATGTAATTCTCGTTACCGGTAAGCATGTGTCAAAGTAATCAAGACTTTCTCATCGTCTTAATCCTTAATCAATCTTGCCTTATATTTGTCAATAATACCATCAGCTTTTATTTTCCTTTTGAAAATCCACTTAGAATCCAAAGGTTTATTTCCTGGAGGAAGATCAGCCATTTTTCCAAGTATGATTACTTAATATGGATTCTATCTTACTATTGACAACTTCTTTTCGAGGAAGACATAACTTCTTCCAAAGTTTGAAGCTCATTTTCTAACAAGAATGTCAGAAAATATTATCCAATGGAAGCAGTTGTCCTTTGACGTCTTGGATTCACCTTATTAGGTGTACTTTCCTTTGCTTCATCTCGAGTTTACTTAGATTTTCACTAGACGACTCATATTTCTTTTTATACGGATAAATATTCTTAGAAAATTCAGCATTATCTGATACGAATATCGTATTAATATGAATGTCGGGATTTTCTGATTTATGAATCAGAAAACGATATGCCTTACTATTTGTTGCATATCCTATAAAAACGCAATCAATAATTTTCGGTACGATCTTTACCCTTTTGGGTTTAGGAACTTGCATTTAGCTAAGCACCCCCACACTTTAAAATATTTAAGTTGGGCTTCCTTTCATTCATTTCTCATATGAGTGGATTGTGTTTTGTTATGGGGAACTCAATTGAGTATTTAGTTAGCTGTAAGAATAGCTTCTCCCTACAAGTCCAGAACTTATTAACAAGGCATTTTATTGACTCTTTTAACGTTCTACTCTTTCTTTCCGCAATTCCAATAGATTGCGCTAAGTAAGGGGCAATCGTTTGGTGAATAATGCCATATTACAAATATATTTCTTCAAACGCCGCCTCTATATTTTGTAGAGCCAACCACATGAACTGTTGTTTGTGTCATAACAAAGCCAGAATAAATGGTGAAGTTTTTAATCTTCAAACCAATCTGACACAATCATAATTAATAAACAGTGAAGTTTTTAATCTTCTAACCGAGTAATATGTGACACAATCAAATTTAATAAACGATCAAGTTTTTAATCTTCAAATCGAATAATAAATTAGAGTAGAAAATCACTAAGATTTTAATCTCCAAAACGAGTATAAAGCCACTTAGACTTTAATTTTTGATAACTGAGTAGAAAGTCACGAAGACTTTAATCTCAACAAACAAGTAACAAATCACGCAGATTTTGATCTCGAAGCAGGAGTAGAAAATCACGAAGACTATATTCTCCATAACGGATATGGAAAATCACGAGAATTTTAATTCCCCTTCCAAATGGGTTTTCTACTAAACCATTATAACACTTTAAACAGATTGACCTCTTTCTCTAATTAAACATATATATGTCCATCTTTACATATTATATGATCTCAAGAATATTTTCAAGTATTACTGTAAGCCTTACTCATGTCTTACAACCTTGAAGATACCATGCATGCCACCAAATTGTATATCAACTACTAATATTTTTTTCCATTTGGCCAAAGAAATAACAAACTTACAGCAAACGCATGTTATTTCTACTCATGCATACAATTCTATATATATGAAATTATCACATAATAAACATCTACGCTAATATTTGTAGCAGCTCGATCATAAATCACTAGAGTAGGAAATAATAAACAGATTATAAGCCAGAGTAAGAAGAATAGAATCCGTTTTTTTTTAGTCACGCTCTCTTTGAATCTGGATCTCTTTCGAAAAATTGCTACCACAATATCCGGTGCTTCTGGGAGAACTCTCGTAAGAGGATAGCAACAAAAGAAAAGGAAAAGAAAAATCTTTTCTCTTGTTTACACTATAGGCATAAAATACTGATATCAATGTGACTGTGTAATCACGTTGTTTTCGTTCTTTGCCAATTGACATGAAATAATCCAAGAATTCCTTGGAAGAATTCTTGGAAATCAAATGTTTAAAACAATAGTACCTTGTGAAACTGAAAGAAAGGAATTATTCTTTTACTTTGCCTTCACTCGTAATTGGTTAATGTCTAA